GCTCTAAATGGGCCTAATTCTGTGTGAAACTGGGAACTTAAACTCAGCATCCAGATGAATAATTAGTTAAACTATAGTCTTTTCTGTTTAGTATTTTAATCTTAGCTGATTTTTAGACACATTTTTTAGATACATTTAGATAGATTAGATCAATTGTTGTGACTTAAGGTGGTGGAAATGTTTCCCTTTTGCTGGGAAATACTGATTGTTTTTTGTTTGGTTAAATATCTACAGAAAACATTTGGATTTTTTCATTTCTTTTTTCTTTTGAGTGGCTGCTTTAAGTCATAGTTATGTACACATAAAGTTAGACAATGCAGACTTATAAAAGTCCCCAGTATCCAGTCTCCACTTTTCTTTTGTCTTTGGGTGTAAAGTACACAAAAACCTGACACGTATCTTCTGGGTGTGGCAGACAAAACCTTTCTCTTGTTTTTCTTATCTTGTTTTTTGTCAATTTAGACACAAAAAAAGATCTCTCAGAGTTTTAATGTGTTAACGTGAAGAAGTTAAAATGTCTTTAAACCGGAAATGGCTTCAGATGACCCAAATTTAGTAAACATGGACTATAGAGTTATGACGAAATCTACTTATTTACATGCTTTTTTTTGTTTGTTTGTAAAACCATTTGAAACGAGACACAAAGTTTCTGGTAATAGTTTTAGATAAACGACATAAATGGGACATTTTCTGGGTTTAAATGTCTTCTTCTTTGGTTTAAATCCCTCCTCTGATGGACGGATATTCCCCTTGGAGTGTTGGAAGCTCCTATTTCCCACCTTTGGCCGGGGCCGTGAAGGCAGCAGCGCAGAATAACGTGAATAATTCAGTTCTGGGCTGAGAGGATGAGGAGAATAGTCTAGAGAGGAAGGGCGGGGTCCGGCCATTTGTAAAACCCCTCTTTTTCACCTCTGTTTTTATTTTATTTCACTTTATTTTTTTATTTGAAAAGGGACAAAAGCACCTTAATGAACATCAGTATAAAAACAAATGTAAATATTCCGAATTATAGCTACAAAGCTAGTTTTCATCCGTAGTACCTATGCAGGCAAATACATAAGAAAGAACATATAATACACAATATAA